TGCTTTTCATTACCAGTCGGTATTACTGTTTCACTGAACAATAAGTAACCTTTCACATACTGTTTGAGTCATACTCCCTACTGCTTTTCATTACCAGTAGGTATTTCTGTTTCACTGAACAATAAGTAACCTTTCACATACTGTTTGAATCATGCTCCCTACTGCTTTTCATTACCAGTAGGTATTACTGTTTCACTGAACAATAAGTAACCTTTCACATACTGTTTGAATCATGCTCCCTACTGCTTTGCATTGCCAGTAGGTATTACTGCTTCACTGAACAATAAGTAACCTTTCACATACTGTTTGAATCATGCTCCCTACTTCTTTTCATTACCAGTAGGTATTACTGTTTCACTGAACAATAAGTAACTTTTCACATACTGTTTGAATCATGCTCCCTACTTCTTTTAATTACCAGTAGGTATTACTCTTTCACTGAACAATAAGTGATCTGTCACATATTATTTTTGGTAAATAAACACTAAACATTAAACGAATTACGAAACGTAGATATGAACTTACGCTACCTATAATTCACGTTATTATTATATTTTAATACCTATTTGGTGCTACAAAGACAGAGATACTTAGTACAAAATTGTAAAATTTTTCCGAACGTTTGTCTACATATACATCTTATCATAATAATAATTATTGCTTTGAGTAGTCTCTAGTTACAAAGTTTAACTAATAATCATAATATATTGAATATAATATTTTATACACAAACTTTAAAAATTCTGAATATGAATACAACATAACTTAAAAATCAATCATATGTGTACGTACACGTCTGTACATATACGACTAAAAATATGATTTTTCTACACATTTCATTCACCTTTAGTTTGAAATATAATTATCATTACACGTTTAATAAGGTATATAATTTTTCTTGTTTCATAACCATTATAGTAAAAACCCTTCAAGGAGAAAAATCTTTAAATAAATACAAAGGTATTTTCTAAATGTTTTCTCTATGTATTAATATTTTTTAGTTCCTGGAGAACAAGGTTACATATTAGGAGGAATGGGGTCTTTAGTGAAACCTGGGTTATCAAGTCCTGCTGGTTCTTCATCATTAACGGTTACAGCATGAGTCCCACCATTACCGTTTATATTCTCCAGTGGTAAAGGTTTCTCGACTTGCTTTTCCTCTCTCGGCAATATTAGCTTTTCTAATGCCATAAAAGGACTTTCAAACGCAATAGAACAAACAAAGGCCAATGCCATGGTCATAACGAGAAAGCCAAAGAACAAGTACACCTGAAAAAAAACCAAAAACATCCATCTTAAAAACTGAAATGTACAGTGTTTATCAAATTTCTTTTCTCTGTACCTCCCCCCCCCCCCTCACACCATTGGTTTAGCGGTAAAAACTGCGGGTTTATAACGCTAAAAGTCGAGTTTCGATACATTGTGTGACTAAAACTCCATACTTTTAAAACAATGCTTCTTAAAATTTCACTAATGCTCTGAAACAATGTTCAATAAAACATAGCCATCGTTTTGATACAATGTTTGATAAAAACTAGTAATCGTTTTGATACAATGTTTGATAAAAACTAGTAATTGTTTTGATACAATATTAGACAAACTCACCGTCGTTTTGATACAATGTTTGATAAAGACAACCTCGCCATTGTTTTGAAACAATGTTCGCTAAAACTAGTAATTGTTTTGATACAATGTTTGACAAAACTCACCATTGTTTTGATACAATATTAGACAAACTCACCGTCGTTTTGATACAATATTAGACAAACTCACCGTCGTTTTGATACAATA